TACAGGTGAGTTGCCAGTGCTTGCCCAGCATTTATTCAGGTACTGAGGATGGGCTTTGTTGTTGCTTAGTCAGTTCTTTAAGGGTAAGATAAGAACCTTCTTGTCAGCAGGACTTGTACTCTGAGTGTCTCCTGAATTCAGCTCAGATCTGTTCTGCTGTCTTTGGGCCCCATATAACTGCTGGGTGGGCCCACTTGACTGACCAGTGACTTCCTCACACTCAGGTGGCCTCTGCTCTGGCTACCTGTCTATGCTGATATCAGTGTGTGGTTTGTTGTTTTCCAGCTACTGCAGCCTACAGATCAAAGCTCTGGCCAAGATCCACGCGTTTGTACAGGACACGTGAGTGCTCATGTTCACTGGTCTCAGCGGAGGCCCTGGCTTCCCCACCAGCTCTTTCTCTTTTCTTCCTTGTTTTCTTTTTCTTTTTGTTTTTTGTTTTTCTGAGGTAGATTACAGAATTTCTCTGTGTAGTCCTGGCTGTCCTCATACTCAGAGATCATCTGCCTGCCTCTGGTGCCTGAGGACTGGCATTAAAAGCATGTGCCACCAGTGCCCGGTGTCACTCAACTCCGTTTCTTTAACAGTGATTTAAAAGCCACTCTTGGCTGGGCGGTGGTGGCGCACGCCTTTAATCCCAGCACTTGGGAGGCAGAGGCAGGCGGATTTCTGAGTTCGAGGCCAGCCTGGTCTACAGAGTGAGTTCCAGGACAGCCCAGGCTATACAGAGAAACCCTGTCTCGAGAAAAACAAAAATTAACTTTTAAAAGAAACACATGTAAAACAAATTTTTACTCAAGAAATGCTAGCAATGCAGATAGAGAAAAACATTCCACTGAGTAGTTCCTACAGAAAATAAGTTGGTAAAAGATAACTGAACTACTTGTCCACTGCTCACAAGTCCCAATATATATGCCAAGGAGGGGAGGAAGGGAGGGAGGGAGGGAAGATGGGGCAGAAGGCTAGAAAAAAAAAAAAAAAAAACAATTCTAAAGGTGATTTTATGTGTTCTTCCTGAACATGTCTGTCATCGTATGTGTGCCAAATGAGCAGAGATCTGAAGAGGGTGTTGGAGCTCCTGAAACCAGAGCTACACTTGATTGTAAACCACCATGTAGGTCTGAATCTATGCCTCTGGACAAGCAGCCAGTGTGCTTGTAACCACTGAGCTGTTTCCCTGCACCAGAAAGACAGGAGGCGAGCACAGTCATCTGCCGAAGCTCTGGATGCTTTCTAAGCAGTTGTGAAACTCATGTCTACTAGTAACTAGGGAGAAATGAGTGGGAAGGAGCCGGTCATTCTCTTTAAGCTGTTTGAAAGAACCAGGCTGCAGTTGAGTAAAGTAGGCATGCCACCTGTATGTAACCTCAGCAGCTGTGGCAGGGGGTGCTGAGATTTCAGCTGCTGGGGACTAGGCATAATTAGGAAAGATGGTAAAAGAGGAAATAACAAAATAGGATAAATAACAAAGCTGTGTTTAGGTCCTCACCCAAGTATATGCCGGTTCTCCATAAACAGTGCTGGAGAAAGCAGATGGGACAGTTTTTAGTTAGTCTTTTTATGTAGCCCTACCTGTCTTGGAATTTACTATGAAGACCCAGCTACCACCAACTCAGAGTCCCTCCTGCTGGGATCAAAGGCATGAGTCACCACAGGCATTTTGTTTTCATTTTTGAATGTGCTTCTGTGAGATTCTTCTAGGTTAGATTTTTGTTTAAAATTTTGATTATTTTTGTTTAAATGCCCCAAGAATTCATATTCTACAGGCATACTATGTCTCTGAGTGTTCCACAACTAGAGGCCACAGGCAAAGATAAGCAAGAGACCTACAGATGCACAGAGATGTTCCAATACCTTACACTTGAGTCCCCGTGACCATAGCAGCCACTTCTCTAGGCAAAGTCAGGGCAGCTTTCCAGCATTCTGTGCTTGTTCAATTTAGCCATCTCTTCATACAGCCAGAGTGAGCACTCACCAGATCTTAGACTCCTTCCGTTTATTTTCTTCCCTTTGCTATAACTTCTTTTTTTCTAGTAAGTATAGTTACGGTTTCTTAGGGGCTGTGAGACAGGGATGAACTCTATACAAACTATCAGAATAAATCATTACCCACTATTTTTTATAAGCTTTTTCTTTATAAGCAAAACCAAATCTACAGGAGGGTATTTATCAAATTAATGAACTACTAAAAATGGCAAGAAGGTTCTAAGAAAAAAAAAGGTCTTATCCTTGATCAGAAATATTAATCTGAGTGCTTCGATGTGCTTGGTATCATACACAGTATCTCAATTCTTATAATAATCCTATGAATTAGACATTATAAACAACTTCATTTCATAAACAGGAAACTCAGACTTAAAGAGATTAAGTACCTTGTAGAACAAAAGTCTCACAAATTGTAAACAGCAGAATCAGCCAGGACTGGAATCCCGAACACTTAAGAAATCACTTTTCCTAATTTGCTGTTTTACATAGACACATCTTTGGAAGAATAGTACACTGCGTTTAATTCCCAAAGCAGAGAGATCACAAGATCCTTACCTAGAAATATCTGTCAACTACTTCTATCCACACCCACGTTAGCTCTATCACTGTCTCAGTACCAGTATCCCATCTCCTACCACACCAACTGCTTTCTACCGTCCAAGGCTATGGGAAAGGACTCCAGCTACTAATCTTGTACTGAACTTTCCCCAAATGTTTCCAAATTTTGCTAACTGGTTATTCCATCTGTTGAAATGTAATACATGATTAAAAGGTTTCCAAAACAAATTCCATTACATTTTCACTACCCAAGTCAAGGTACCCAAGTACTTTTGATTTTGCCAATTGCCACTAAGATTAAAACTAAGGAGAGCTCGGGTGTGGTGGCACATACCTTTGGTCCCAGCACTGGGGAGGCAGAGCCAGGCAGGTATCTCTGAATTTGAGGGTGCCTGGTCTACAGATTGAGTTCCAGAACAGCCAGAGCTGCACAGAGAATCTCTGTCGGGGGGTGGGGGGGAGACAAACAAACAAATCCCAAAGAGAAATAAATGGAGATTTTTCGTTTTTTGTTTTGTTTTTAAATAACAGCAGCCAGTTTCTGGAGGAATCAAAAGAACATTTTCATTGGTAGGAGGAGGAACTAGACCAACAATTACTACC